TTCCCGTCATAACTGGGCCCCAACCCCTTGACTAAATGGTGGGACCTTTGACACTGTTAGTCTATCAGGATTTCCATCTCTGGAAGGGAGAACTGACTGAACTACCTCCTAAATTTGCCTTTTGCTGGTTGAAAATGTTGTCTTTTTGCATTGTGTAATCTGAATCAAATATTGCAGAGCTACGCTTTCCATCCTGTTTGTCAGCCTTTGCACTTTCATCAGATTCCCAATTCAGTCATCTCCTAATGGTTTGTCAGCTTTCCTCCTAATTCAATCTTTGACTTCTTTGAAACAGTCTTGTACCTATTGTTGCCAGAAATTGATGTCTTGATCACCTGAACTGATATGGTGATCTGGTTGGAGTACGGTACGATTGAAGTATAACTTCCTCAGGTCTGTATTTTCCTCAGGTCCTTTAACCCAGCATTTCATTGATGTCACAATTGCTGTTCTGCAGTGAGTGAACATGCTAAATGTCTCTAAATCTGTCACTATTGTTTCCCAAAGAGACTAATAACTTTTTAAAATAGATTAATAGACCAAACAATTATTCAAAATAAAGCTGTTGACAAGACCATGTGTTTTAAGGCTTTTACTGTAACATACAACCTAAACTGAGCATTCATTAAGCATTAATTAACAGGCAGATTCTGATTGTAGAATCGTACAGTACAGATGAGGCCCTTCATCCATCAAGCTTGTACCACAAAAAAATACACTACTACCTATTCATCCCATTTTCTGCTAAAGGGAAAAGTAAGTTTTGCATTCTTTAATGCATCTGAAATATGTTTTATGAAATATTTTTACATTAAGTCTGACCTTTTGATCGATCTATGTACTAGGAGAAAATTAAGAGCTAGAGAATGCCATTCAGCCCCCTGAGCCTGCTTTGCCTTTCAATAAGATTGTGGCTGGTCTGTTTCTGTTTCAAATTTTATACTCATGTCCACACCTGAAAACCTTTGATTCCTCTGCCTAACAAGAATTTATCCACCTCTGCCTTAAAAATATTCAATTCCATCTTCTAAGGTAGAGTTCTAGTCTGACGCAACCCTCTGAGAGAAAGAATTTATCCTTACCTCATGCTTGAAGGATGACCCATAATTTTAAAATAGTTCACAAGAGGAAACATCCATTCCACATTCACCTTGACAAGACATTCAGGATCTTAAACACTTCAATCAACTAACCAACATTCTAAACTGATGTGGAAACAAGCCCAGTGTGTCCAATCTGTCCTCATAAGACAACCCATTTGTTCCAGGTATCAATCCAGTAAACCTCCTCCAAATTGTCCCCAACTCATTTACGTCCTCTTTTATACAAGGAGACTAAAACTGCACATAGCATATGAGATGTGATCTCATTAATGCTGTTTGTAACGGAAGCATGACTTCCTTACATTTATGTGAAATTCCTCTCATAATAAAGGATAGCATCCAACCTAGCCTTCCTGATTACCTGCATCCTAAATTCATAGCAGAAATAGTCAGCCTTAGTTCGCTAGTCCACCTTGCCAGTTCAAATCTACCAGTGCCCTTTGACAATCCACTCATCTCAAGTTTATCCCGATATGGTCATCACCAGTAAGGCACACATCAATGAATTCCTTTTATTTGAATCTTCAAGAGCCCCATCTGTTATGTTCCCTTTTAGAATAGCAGTTGAACTTTCACAAGCGTCCTCCTTGGTTAACACAAACAGTTGATCCTGCTTTCCCACAGCAGTAGCCCTTTTGTTCTGTATCTCAAATAGAAGCTGTTCTTTATCTCTGCTATAGTCTGAAAAGGTATTTAAATCCTTACCCTTATTAGAGTCATAGAGATGTGCAGCACGGAAACAGATCCTTCAGTCCAACTCGTCCATGCTGACCAGGTATCCTAAATAAATCTAGTCCCATTTGACACCATTTGGCCCGTATCCCTCTAAACCCCTCCTATTCATTTCCCCATCCAGATGTCTTTTAGATGTTGTAATTGTACCAGCCTCTACCACTTCCTCTAGCAGATCATTCCATACGCACACCGCCCTCTATGTGAAAAAGTTGCTCCTTAGGTCCCTTCTAAATCATTCCCCTCTCACTTAAACCTGTGCCCTCTAGTTTTGGACAACCCCACCTTGGGGAAAAGTCCTTGTCTATTTACATCTATCCACCTCCCTCATGATTTTATAAACCTCTATAAGTCACTCCTCAGCCTCCGACACTCCAGGAAAAATAGTCCCAATCTATTCAGCCTCTCCTCATATACCAAACCCTCCAACTCTGGCAACATCCTTGTATATCTTTTCTGAGCCCTTTAAAGTTTCACAACAATCTTCGTATAGCAGGGAGACTAGAATTGCATGCAGAATTCCAAAAGTGACCTACCAATGTCCTGTACAGCCGCAACATGACCTCTCAACTCCTCCACTCGATGCATTGACCAATAAAGGCAAGCATACCAAACGCCTTCTTCACTATCCTATCTATCTGCGACTCCACTTTTAAGGGACTATGAACCTGCACTCCAAGGTCTGTATGTTCTTCATTAAATGTGTCTCTCTTTGAATTTCTCTCTTTATGGCAATTGGCATTGGCATGTTTCCAAACTGAGGAATTCATGAACCTTTTTTTTAATTGAGTTAAATATACATTTCAAAACATAACCGCCTTGCAAAGCTCAATTTTGAGCCATTATTACTTCAATTTCAGAGTCAGTCATTTCTGAAACTGGATTTTTTTAATGAGGTCTAAGGCTGTTGTAAGATAAGATAAATAGTAGAGTAGTGCAATTGGGAAATCTCTTTTAAGGATGAAATTAAGGGTTACATTTGATGAAATTCATCTTTGCAATTATCTTCCATGGTCTCTGAATAAAAGCAAGTAGGATATTACATGCAAAAGAGAAAGTGTTCCAACCGAGAGCAAGAAGATCCTTGAGAGATACAGAGTTAATTACATCTTAAAAATATTGTCAGTTGGTGTATGTTCCTACTGGATCTAGATACTGCAAAAAATGTGCTCAATTTAACAAGGAAACAAGTACAATCATGTATCAAGAGACCCAAATGAAAGGCCAAAGCCGAAGGTTAGAAAAAAATAACAGGGAAGAACAGGTAAATCATATAATATTGACTAGATGATACAAAGCTTAAGCGTTAAAAGTCTGAAGATTGAACAAGGGAGAACAAACAAAAGTTTGGAGTCAGCAGAAAGTTAATGAAGTAGCAACTGGGGCAATACATCTCGATTTTATCACAATGAAGATTCAATGAAGATGAAGTGACTGTACAAAGTTAGAACAAACAGCAAAGTTCAGAGAGTCAATGAGCTCATTATTTACCTCAAGCAGAGGTTAAATGTACACTAACTCAATTCCCCAAAAGCTTGCAAGAAAGAAAGCCATTTACTGAGAATTCACAAATCATCAAACCCTTTAGCATAAAGCTCCCAAACTTTTGGCTGGAAATTGGGAGAGGGGAGTGTGCAGCGGGAACTGGGTGTCCTTGTGCACCATTCGCTGAAGGTAAGCATGCAGGTGCAGCAGGCGGTAAAGAAGGCAAATGGTATGTTGGCCTTCATTGTGAGAGGTTTTGAGTACAGAAGCAGGGATGTGTTGTTGCAGTTGTACAGGGCCTTGGTGAGGCTACACCTGGAATATTATGTGCAATTTTGGTCTCCAATTCTTAGGAAGGATGCTTTTGCTCTCGACAGACTGCAGCGAAGGTTTACCAGGCTGATTCCAGGGATGGCGGGTCTGATGTATGAGGAGAGATTGACTAGGTTAGGATTGTTTTCACTAGAGTTCAGACAAATGAGGGGGGATCTCATTGACACTTATAAAATTCTAGCAGGACTGGACAGGGTAGGTGCAGGGAGAATGTTCCCAATGGTGGGTCCTGAACCAGGGGTCACAGTATGAAGATTCAGGGTAGACGATTTAGGACGGAGATGAGAAGACATTTCTTCACCCAAAGAGTGGTGACCCTGTGGAATTCATTACCACAGGAAGTAGTTGATGACTAAACATTGAATGTATTCAAGAGGTGACTAGATATAGCACTTCAGGCAAATAGGATCAAAGGTTATGGGGAGAAAGCAGGATTAGGCTATTGAGTTGGACGATCTGCCATGATCGTGATGAATGGCGGAGCAGGCTCAAAGGGCTGAATGGCCTCTTCCTACTTCTATGTTCTATGTTTCTATGTTTTAGGAACTCCACTGTGACTCCATTTGAGGCTTGAACATCATGGTGACCTTGGGGGATAGGGGCTGTGTTTGGTGTGGGGCTTGTAGGGAGATGAGGTAACAGCAAGGGACATGGAAAAGAAGGTCTATGAGGCCAGATGCTATAGAGATCCATAGCAGCTGATGCTGCCTTGAAGCTGCAACCCCAGCATTACAGCTCATGATCCCACAGCCCCCACTTTGAGAATCCATGCTTGTTTCTAGCTTGCGAAGAGTTAGAATTTTTTAATTTGATTGCACAGTCGTCATGTACCTTTGGAATCACACAATCTCCTAAGATTAACCTCATATTCTGTTATTCAGTCACCATCAGTAGGAAACCAGGAGTCATTGTCAGTTTCTGTCAAGTAAAAGAGATAAGATAACATTTCAATGTGTTGCTTCCTAAGGCATTGTGAGCAGAAGGTTTTCATTATACATTTGGTAGCAGTTCAGTTTTAGATATTTCATACAAAGGATATCTTGTATTCTTTAACAAAACACTTCCACAACTATTAATTTGTCTATTTAAACCACTGCACCTTTTCTTAAACAGTGAAATTCATAAACTCAGAGCCCGAGCTGGGATCTCTAAAAAATGGGACAGCAGTACACTGTAATTTATTAGGGCACCCAGACAAGTACATGTATAACAAACTCCAGCAATTATCAATTATATTTCTAGTTAACCTGTTATTAAGTTTTGCTCTTCCTGACGGATCCTGAAATGATGGTGGAACAGTCACTGCACTGGTGCTTACTGGTTTCTTTCTGGTTTTTACCATCTCAGGACTTCAAAGAGGAAATTGCTTCAGAATCAATTACTTTCCTGAAGATGATGATTATGACCAGGAGGGATCAGAATACCTTTTACGTAAGGATTGAAGAAACTGAATGCTCTAAACGTGAAAGTGATCAGTGATGTAGCTCGGAGCCAGACTTGAACTAGAATAGTCGATGAATCTAGATCATTTAGAAATGTGTGCTGTTTCTTCCAAACATTAACTTTCATATAATTCTTCCAAGCTATCTTCCATGATTTATATACAGCCCTACCTAGCCCCTACACTAATGCTAATAGACCCTGTGTTCATCTTTATTCCCTTTAGCGCCTCTTCATTGATGATTGAATATATGTTGTAAACAGAAACTGTCTTAGGGTTACACTCCCTGTTCAAATTATTGCCCATCTTCTAACAGCATAAAGATTACACTTGCTCTTGGCTCAATCTCACCATCACCTTAGTGATCAAGCAGATTGTTTTATAAATCTGAGAGAATAGACATTCCCCTACAACCCTACTCCTATTCCAGTAACTCAATCTGGGAGGAAATTCGATAGTTAGCATTATGTGTCTGATAACTTTGCCAATGCTCCATTTTTCTTTGGAAACACTAGACAGGGATTACTTGGAGACAATACCAGAACCTTGTTCTCATCTGTTGATTATCCATCAGGTCCATACTGCAGCAGAGTTACTGGGTAAGGGCACTGCTGGGAGCATTGGCTGTTCCAACTGCCACCCTCAGACCGAGCCAAGGAACACCAAAAGCCTTTTCAGGGATTTTCTCTCATTGCCACCATCACTCCCAATCTCACACCCACCCACAACCCCACTCCCACTCTCACTCATACACACACCAACACCCCCACCCTCACTCATACTCACCCTCTGACTAGCACTCAAACTTACACCCCACCTCACCCCCAATCCACTCCCACTCACACTCCCTCTTATACTCAAACCTCACTCTAATTCCCATTCACACTCACACCTAACTCACACCTCACACTCATAGTTTGCTCTCACTTGCACTGTCACACATACTCTGACATTCACACCTCACTCTCAATCTCACACTCACTCACAATTGCGCTCAGACACACTCATACTCGCTCATATGCTCATACTTCATGCTCACTTGCTCTCACAGTCACATGCACTCACTCACATGCTCACATCTCATGCTCACTCGCTCTCACAGTCAGATGCACTCACACACACTCTCACTCTCACACTCACTCACACCACACACACTTCTCACTCAGTCTCACTCATGCTCTCATTCCACTAACTCTCACATTCACCCTCACACTTTTACTCTCTCAATCTCACTCTCACTCCCATAATCACTGTCACTCTCACACTCACTCTCACACAGCCTTACTCTCACTCATGCTCTCGGTCTCACTCAGTCTCACATTCATATTTTTAGTCTTACACTTTCACTCACTCTCACATTCTCACACTCTGTCACCATGCACACTCTCATTCCCACTGTCACTGTCACTTTCACTCTTACTCACACTCTTACAGCAGAAATCAATGGTCTAACCTGGAATCCTGGTGACTCAGTCACTACTTCAACATGCAGGGCAGAAATGACAAGATAATGAGCTATTGTAACACACTTGATCTTTACCTTCAGGTACACACCTTTCTGTCCTGAACACATACAGTCATATTCAGTGAATGTATTTTGTTTTGAATTCCCAAAAGTAAGGTAATATATTTTGAAACAGTTCCATCAGATACAAAATGTGATAAAGTTGTTTGATTCTCTCTTCAGGCATTGTCCGTGCTTCCAGTTTATTCCCAATACTCAGTGCTATCCTGTTGCTCCTGGCCGGTCTGTGTGTCGGAGCCGGCAAATTGTACAGCAGCAAAACCAACATTATCCTCAGTGCAGGCATCCTGTTTGTAGCAGCAGGTCAGTGCTTCATTTATGATTGATTCATTCATTCTTCATTGCTCTCACACTCACCAACTCCTCATCCACTCCTCACACTCACCCTCACCCACTCCTCACCCACTCCTCACTCTCACTCTCACCCACTCCTCACTCTCACTTCTCACCCACTCCTCACTCTCACCTTCACCACTCCGCAAACTGACCCACTCCACGCTCACTCTCACCACACTTCACCCGCACCCACTCCTCACTCTCACCGCAAACTCACCTATGCCTCACCTTAACCTCACCCACTTCTCACCTACTCTTCACCCTCACCCACCCCTCACCCTCACCCACTCCACACCCTCACCCACTCCACACTCTCACCCACTCCACACCTTCACCCACAGCACACTCTCACCCTCACCCACTTCACCCCCTCACCCATTCCACACCCTTACCCCCACCCACTCCACATTCTCATCCACTCTAAATCTTCACCCACAGCACACTCTCACCCTCACCCACTCCATGCTCTCACTCTCACCCACTCCACACTCTGACCCATTCCTCACCCTCACCCATTTCTCACTCTAACTCTCACTCTCATCCTCACCCATTCCTCACTCTCACTCTCACTCAAACCCACTCCTCTCACTCTCCTCACTCTTGCACAATCCTCACTTTTGCCAACGCCTCACTCTCACGTTTGCCCACTCCTGATTCTCACCCACTCCTCATTCTCCCCCATTCCTCACTCTGGAGTAAACCCGACTCTGACAGAGAATGTACTAATCGCCACACACTCTGCTATGTCACTCATGCAGTCTTGTACCTCAGGGGCCACAACGCAGAGGCATTATAAAGTCACAGGTTCCTCACGCAACTCAAAAATATGCATTAAAACACACAGACCATCGTTTGGAACCACAAATGATCACACGTACCGGCAAGTAAAACGGCCTCACAATCCCATGAGGAACACAGTCAATCTCCAAACAGCTTTGCTTGTACTGTATGTCCCACACAATCTCCAGCGGCAACTGTACCACAGATACAACCACGGAATCACACCATACCACTGAAAATAGAATATTCTTGTTCGTATATTGGAATCTTTATGCATTTGAAAGAAATATTAAACTGCATATTGTTTTAGTAAAGTCAATTTATTTAACAGAGTCCCACCGATGGTAGAAAACAGCGTGTACGATTAAAACTACAGTAATGTCTCCCGATAGCAACATTATCATTCCCCAACACCGCGCTCCAAACAAAAAAAAACTGCCGATGCTGAAAATCAAAAACCGAAATTGCTAGAAAAACTCAAACAGGTCTGGCAGAATCTGTGGAGAGAAAGCAGGGTTAACGTTTCGGGTCCAGTGACCTTTCTTCGGATCTTTCCCGATTATTTTCCCATTCCAAAGCAGTAAGTGGAGGGTAGGAACAAGCAAGCAACTTCTCCGGGTTATTTAAAAGCAAGCTGGAAATCTAGGCTAAAAACGGAAATTGCTGGGAAAAACCCAGCAGGTCTGGCAACATCTGCGTAGAGAGAGAAGCAGAGTGGAAGCAATGTGACAACGCATTGGGCTGCATGATTCAGTCGAATCTGTGTTAAAATTCCCAGAAAAAAAAAGTTTACAAAACCGCGAGCTTGCAGGTTTGAAGGGATCTGCTGCAGAGCCAGTTAATGTCTGAATAAAAAACTGAAAGAACTGCGCATTCTGTAAATCAGAATCAAAAACAGAAGTTGCTGGGAAAGCCTGGCAGATCTGGCAGCATCTGTGCAGAGAAATTAGAGTTAATGTTTCGGGTCGGGTGACCCTTCCTCCGAATGTGACTAACAGATGCTGTTTATGTTCCAGGACTGAGTAACATTATCGGGATAATCGTGTATATATCCAGCAACACGGGTGACCCCTGGGATAAAAACGATGATGAGAAAAAGAGCCTGTATTCTTACGGCTGGTCTTTCTATTTCGGGGCGCTATCCTTTATTGTGGCGGAGATGGCCGGAGTGCTATCTGTCAGCATTTACATTGACAAGAACAAAGCGGTGAGGACCAGGTCCCACCGGGACTACTTAAAGACTTCCTCCTCGCCTTACGCCAGGATGTCCAGCTACAGGTACCGCCAGCGGCGGAGATCCGGCTCCAGCTCAAGGTCAGAGGAGCCTTCCCCGGCTCGGGAGCTGTCCTCGGCCGCTGGGCTGAAGGTAGTGAGTAGCGTGGTGCCCCTGACCGAGATCTCCATGTACACCTTGTCCAGAGAGGCGGCCAAGGGACCTGCCAGAGCCAGCTACCACCCGGAGCAGGAAGAGAGCTTCCTCCAGGTCCATAACTGTTTCCAGAAGGAGCTGCAGGAAGACCTGGTGGCCAACATCATGAACAGGCGAACGACGCCAGTCTGAACACTCACCTTCTTCTCTGACGCCCCCTCCCCACCTTCCATCCCCTCCCCCACCTCACTGACCCACCGCCTCACCCCACCCTAACCCCCAGCTCCAACACCACCTCCTCCCCAACACCTAGCTTCCACCGTCTCCCCAGCTCCCACAGCCTTCTCCACTCCCACCCTCCCAGCTCCCACAGCCTTCTCCACCCCCACCCCCCGCAGTTCCAACAGCCTTCTCCGACCTCACCCCCCCCGGTCCCACCGTCTCCCCCCCCCCCCAGCTCCCACAGCCTTTTCCACCCCCACCCCCCCAGCTCCCACAGCTTTTTCCACACCCACACCCCCCCAGATCCCACAGCTTTTTCCACCTCCAACCCTCAGCTCCCACAGCCTTTTCCACCCCCAGCTCCTACAGCCTTCTCCACCCCCACTCCCCCAGCTTCTACCGCCCTCCCCCAACCCCTGTCGCTCCCAGCTCCCACACCGCCTCCCTTTACCCGTCCCCCCACTCCCCCAGCTTCCACCGTCTCCCCAACCCCCAGGTCTCACCGCCTTAACCCCACTCGCCCAGGATCCACACCATTCCCCTACCCATGCTCCCAGCTCCCACACCGCCTGCCCTCACAACCCCCAGCTCCCACCGCCTCCCTTTCCTCCTCCCTCACTTCCCCAGCTTCCATCCCCTCCCCCACCTCACTGGCCCACCTCCCACCGCCTCACCCCTCACCCTAGCCCCCAGCTCCAACAGCATTCTCCACCCACACATTCCAGCACCCCCCCTCCAGCTTCCAATCCCTCTCCCACACCCCCGCCGTACTCCCACAGCTTCTATTCCCTTCCCTTCCACCCCAGCCCCTTACCCTCCACCGTCTCTTCCACCCCCACTCCCCAAGATCCCATACCCTCCCTCTCCACTCCCCCCTCACCTCCAACCGCCTGCCCTCAACCCTCCTCCACCCCACTATCCCTGCATCCCCCCATCTCCCCCCACTGGCGGGGTTTTGTTTTTCATTGCTGTGGCGCCTGCTTGGATGAGCAACAAGTGTTAGACCGAGAGAGGAACTGCAACCAGGTAAAGGTGGGGGCGGGAGCGGGGGGAGGGGAGGGGAGGTCACCCGGAACAGGGTGGGACGGTGAAAGGGCTGAGGGAAGGAAACAAAGAAGAGGGAAAGGAAAGGCTTTGGGAGCATTGCCCACTTCCTGCCCCCCCCCCACCCCACCCCCATCGAAAGCCTGATGTGCCCATACAGTCCCACCCGGTGAACATTTTGTAACATTTAATAGACTCGCAGCATCTCCCGGGGCCACAGTCAGATTCCGGGTTCCCCTTCGGTGTCTGTGTCCCCACTGCCACAGCCCCCCAACCCCACCCGCATCCCGGGCTTTCATGTTGCATTGCATTTCCTGGCTTCGGTTCCCACAACCCCCTCCCATCCCCGCTCCCTCCCCCCAACACTGGGGTGGTGTTTCCGACCTCCCGGGGGTGGGGTGTGAGAATGGGAGGGAGGGCGAGGGGAGGATGTTTATTGGCCACAGTAGGCAATTTCCCCTCTCCTCACCCCCCCTCCCCGAGAGATACCACCCACCCCACCCCCGTGCTCCCGCTTTGTGTCTGTGCGTGTGAGGGGGCGGTGGTGAACTGACATCTGAATACTGTCTATTCCCAGAGTCTGGAAGCTCTTCCACACCCACTCAGTGCTGGGGATGGGAAGTACGGACCCTCAGTGTCTCCATTGGTTTGTGTTTCTTGTGGTTTCTCCCATTAGATTGTCACACGTGTCCCTGTAAAACTGTGAATGATTAGATACTGCGTGTAGTCCGTGGGGAGCCCTACTAAAACTGATGTAGAATTAAGTTACCGTGGAAATAGTGGCTGGAGAGTGATGCTCCGAAGTAGCGCGTTCAGATTTGTACGTGGATTGGGTTACTGTCAAGTATTTGTGATAATAAAGCAATCTCTGGATGAATGGGAGTCTCCGCTGCTGCGGAGAAAGCAGTGTCTGTTCATTGAAAAACCATTGAGTCTGCGTTTGACTGGGTTCAGAGATGGAGGCAGTCAGGTGGGACTACTTGAAGCACCATCTCACGTCCCTTTAGTCGTACAAAGACAGGAGAATTAGACTAACTAAAAAAAAGTCAGAGGTCACACGACCTGACCTTTTCTGAAGAAGGATCTAGGCCCGAAACGTCAGCTTTCCTGCTTCTCGGCCTGCTGTGTTCATCCAGCTCTACACCTTGTTATCTCAGAGGTCACACGATCCCAGGTTATACTCCGACAGGCTAATTCGACAACACAAGCTTTCTGAGCGCTGCTCCTTCGTCAGGTGAAGTGCCTCCTGTTGCTCTATAACCTGATGTCGTGTGACTTCTGACTTTGTCCACCCCCAGCCCAACACCGGCACCTTCGCAATCAAAAAGAAAACACCCTTAAAATACACAGAAGAAGATGATGTTATAGAGGCGGACCAATAGAAACACTCCAGAGAACTTTCAAAATGCTTATTCTTTCAGTTAATGTGGGCGTCACCGGCAAGGCCAGCATTTATTGCCCGCCCACCGGCCCCCTCCTGCCCATTGCCCTTGAACTGAGTGGCTGGCTCAGCCATTTCAGAGGGCAGTAAGAGTCAGCCACGTTCCTGTGGGTCTGGAGTCACATGTAGGCCAGACCGGGTAAAGAAGGCAGATTTCCTTCCCCAAAGGGATTCGTCAAATTGTCACAGAAGGACAGTCTCACGCAGGGGTGAAGATAATGTCCACAACAGGAGAGAGAACCCGGTAACCTGGGGCCCGGGGCGGATGCTCAGGAAGTTCCACCGGGCTCGCTCTCTTCTCTACCCAAGCCGGGGAGACCTAACTGGTACCAGTCTGCTAGCTGAAGACTACAACATCACATTCCCCCCCACCCCCACACCACCACCCCCCTTATATTGGACGGGAAAGCGCTGAGGAAGACATTAGCTGTGCCCTAACACAAGACAAGATACCAATTGACTGCCTCAGGCCAAGAGTGGGCATCACTGAGCTGGAAAATAATAAGGCAGGAATCGGGGGCGGGGGCGGGGGCGGGGGGGGGGGGAATCCCAAAGAACTGCGGATGCTGAAAATCAGAAATTGCTGGAAAAACTCAGCAGGTCAGGCAGCATCAGAACTTTTCTGAAGAAGGGTCACTAGACCGGAAAGTTTTTTTTCCCTCCACAGATACTGCCTGATTTGCTGAGTTTTTATCTTGCCCCACCAATTTCTGATTTTGATGCTTAGGAAGGAATCTCGAAAGGGCTTTCTCGGAAAATTCCTGCAGTTTCCAGTGTTACTTAACGCATGATGGTGATGCTGAGAATCGGTGCGCGCGAGAGTTGATGCGGTGTAAAGGTTCTGTGATAGTCTGGTGGTCGCTCCAGTGGGATGACTACACAAGGAACAGACATTAACCAAACTGACAAGGGTGGGGGCAAAGTCCATCACAGGCGCCTTTCCTCTCAGCAGGGTTTGAGTGACAGGCCAGGAGCAAAGTTAGCTCAACATGGTCAGATATATTTAAGCGACTCTTGGATAGGCACATGGGGGATAGTAAAATGTAGGGTTGTTGCAGGGTAATTTTATCTTAGAGTGGGATAATAGATCGGCACAACATCGTGGGCCGAAGGGCCTGTACTGTGCTGTTACTGTTCTATGTTCATGACCCGCCAGCTCATCACTTACTCTCTTCATTACACTGGAGAGTTTTGTTTGGATTCTGTCAGCACTGGGCAGTCAGTGGAACCAGGAGTGCACCCTGTTCCCCTTTTTAATTGGAGCCTCCTCTGGGGAGAGGCCGCAGGTCCAGTGGGGTTTGCGGGATGGGTTGGGGGGTGGGTGGTGGAGGCAGACACTGGGAATGAGACTGGAAAAAACCAGCCCCACTCCCAGACTCTCCAACGGTCAGGGACCGAGTCTGAAGCTCCTCCCCAGCTCAGGGTTGCGCTTATTCCCGGATCATGTCCTCTCGGGGCCCACAGCCTCTGAATGAATGAAAGCCCCAGCCCTCCCTATACCCCGTGCCCCTCCCGCGTACCCGCTGGCAACAGTCTCACAGCTTGGCACTCTTACAAACCCCCCCCCCCCTCCCCCTTCTGGTTGGGTTGGTGAGCAATGGACACAGCTCAGTGCTGGGTGTAAGGAGACACAGTGTAGAATAAAGCGGGTGAGGTGGGGTGGGGGGGCGGGGGGAGAGCGGGGTTGTGTGGGCTCCTTTGGTGCATGGTAGTGACCCTATCTCTGAGCTAGAGGAGCCCGGATACAAGTCCCACCAGGTCCACAGGTGTGTCACAACGTCTCTGAACAAGCTGGTTAGGAAAGCTCTATAAAAAGGCGAGTGAGGGTCCCACATTCAGAGTGGGACCTGCCTGAAACTGTCCCAGGCAGAGCCCCGGAGACAGGAGGGACTGCAGACTGAATGACGAGGAAACTAGGCAGAGTCCTCCTCTCCCCCAGATAGCACTGCAATTCTATTCCTCTCCCTGGAGATCTCCGCCACCTGACTCCCAGACCAGCGGCCGCCTTCAGGCCTGACAGTTCCTTAAATGTGAAACTGTGATATAAATATACACACGGCAGCGGAACAGCTCCTAATAGAAAGTTATTCAACGCCGGGGCCACTTCACTCACAAGTTGGGGGAGGGGGGGTAACACGAGGGGCGCAGAGGAGGCTCCCGACAAACCCTCAGCAAGCATCCCATATACCCCCCACCCCCCGCCATTCCTGAAGGTAACAATCCTCCGGGAATGGAATTACATCCCCCCGGGGTAGAGTGGCTCACGTGTCGGTCTCTGTCAGCCTGAGGCTCCCATTAACAGTGAGCAGTAGCTGGGCAGTGCCAAGGCCAGCCTAGAGTGCATTGGCCAGCCACCCCACCCCTCCCTGAAACCAGCCCCGGGGGTCGGGGAGCGTCAGTCAGTGCAGGGTTTGAGAGCACCGCTATCTCCCTGCTCTTTCGCAGCACTATGGAGGAGGGCAAAGCAGGCAAGATAAAATTCACCTTCTGTGTGATCGCGGTGGGCATTATCCTGGCTATTGTAGCAGTCAGCACCGACCACTGGGCAGGCCTCAGCCCCCGGCTGGAGAGAACCAACTCCACTTGTGAGGAGGCTCACTTCGGCCTCTGGAGACTGTGCACCAAGAGGATCTTTGTCCGGAGTCTGGACCCGAATGGGAAGGGCTGTGGAACTGCCGATCTGCCAGGAGGTAAGAGAGAGCTGTCCTCAGGCACACTCCAGGTCTGAGGCAGGAACTCAATAGGCTGCAGCTACTTCTCTGTCTCAAAAGAATTCATTCCGAACTTCTCTCCAAAGTTACCAGGGTCAGTTCACCAGCACTTGAGTTGAGCAGAACTTACATCGTAAAGGGATTCTTTTTGTGTATGTCTTTAGACAGTGTCAATACAGCCCCTGGTTGTGTGATTGGTAATAGGTAGGTAAACACTGTCTTTTATGCCTCTTTTTATTCGCTCCTGGGACGTCAGCGCCGCATTTATTGCCCGTTCTTAGTTGTTCCTTTAGAAGGTGGTGGTGAGCTGCCTTCTTGAACCATTGCAGTCTATGTGCTGGAAACCCACAATGCCATTACGGAGGAATTCATAGTGAGTAAGTATCCCCCAGGACAGGGAAGTCCAGATCCATGCCTCACAGTCTAAGCATACTGGTTAAATTTAGGAGTTAGATAAAAAGATATTTCTTCACCCAGAGAGTGGTGAGCCTATGGAATTCACTGTCACAGAAAACTGGCCAGGCCAAAACATCGTACGATTTTAAGAAAGAATTGCCTATAGCACTTGGAGCTAAAGGGATCAAATGATATGGGGAGAAAGCAGGAACAGACTGATGATCAGTCACAGAGTCATAGAGTCATACAGCACAAAAGCAGGCCCTTCGGCCCAACCTGTGCATACTGACCAGGTTTTCCTAAACTGAACTAGTTCTATTTTCAGGCTTTTGGCCCATATCGCTCTAAAACTTCTCCTATTCACGTAACTGTGCAAATGTTTTTTAAATGTAATTGTACCAGCCTCTAACACTTCCTCTGGCCGCTCGTTCCATACATGCACCGTCCTCTGCATGAAAAAGTTGCCCCTCAGGTCCCTTTTAAATCTTTCCCTTTTCACATTAAGCCCCTAGTTTTGGAGTCTCCTACTCTCAGTAAAAAGACGTTGATTATTGACCTTTTCCATGCCCCCTCATGATTTTATAAGCCTCTAGAAAGGTCAACCCCCAGCCTGCTACTGAAAAATAGTCCCAGCCTATCCAGCCTCTCCTTACAAGTCATGATCTTAATGAATGGCAGAGCAGGCTCGAAGGGCCTACTCCTGCTCCACGTAGAGATAATAAGAACTGCCGATGCTGGAGTCAGAGATAACACAGTGTGGAGCTGGAGGAACACAGCAGGCCCGGCAGCATCAGAGGAGCAGGAAAGTTGGCGTTTCAGGTCGGGACTCTTCTTCAGCTCCAGTTCCACATTGTTTACATGGATGATAGTAAAATGCAGGATAGTTTGATCTTAGGAGTAGGATAATAGGTCAGCACAACATTGTGGGCCTAAGGGCCTGTACTGTGCTGTACTGTTCTATGTTATCTCCTGCTCCATGTTACCTGTGTTTGTCTCTGTATCAACTCCCACGTGCCTTCATATTGTAGTTAGCAACAGACTCAATCTTCACCAATCTGCAACCGAGCGGGCTCTAGAGACCGGACCCACCAGGTTAATGTCCAGACCAGCTCCTCTCCATCCATTGAACGGTACAATAAAAAAAACGCTGAGTTCTTTTCAGAGCTTCCGTCTCCAAGAGTGCTGGGAGCCGGGAGTGCGGCTGCCCTTTGCTGAAGCTGTATTTCAGTGAGCAGACTGGGAACAGAGCGAGAGTTGTGTATTGGACACAAGCTCGAGTTTGGCTGAGAACATTGCCCGTACTTTTTAAAACAGAAAATCTTCAACATCGGTGGGAACGTTTAGACCCTGTAATCAACGAGATGGTGAGAATAGCCAGGCAGATCCCTCCGGCTGCATTAACTCCTTAAAAAAAAGAATCTTAGGCTAAGCAGCCGCTCACTGCAAACACGCCTTGAACAGGTGCTGGAGTGTAAGGTATCTAAGCTGTCCGGGAGTTAAATATACCGTCAACAGAATGCCAGCCTCTCGCTGACTTTAATACAAACATCTTGTCTCTGGGTTTATCAACCATATCCTTCAGCATCATCGGCTCTGACAATCCACCAGGTATGTAATTATTGCTTCAAGGTCTTTGTTTCTACAACTTCATCTGAAATCCGGCGCTGGATAAATAACTTCCTGGTAGCAGCGCTGAACATACAGTTCATTAAGAGTTTAACAGACATGTTGCTGTCTGCTCTTCGCTTGGTTGGACCGTGTTGTCGGTATTTCATAGGATCATAGAATCCCTACAGTGTGGAAACAGGCCCTTCGGCCCAACAAGTCCAAACTGACCCTTGGAGCATCCCACCCAGATCCATCCCCCTATAACCCACCTAATCTACACATCCCTGAACACCACAGGCAATTTGGCATGGCCAAACCATCCAGCCTGCACACCTTTGGACTGTGGGAGGATACCGGGAGCACCGGGAGGAAACCCACGCAGACACGGGGAGAATGTGCAAACTCCACACAGACAGTCGCCCGGGTCCCTGGCGCTGTGAGGCTGCAGTGCTAACCACTGAGCCACCGTAACCAAACTCCCTTTCAGAGAAATTATGAGGGGCATGGATAGGGTGAAGAGTCAAGGTCTTTTCCTCGGGGCAGCAGAATCCAAAACTAGATAGGCATATGTTTAAGATGAGAGGGGAAAGATTTAAAAGGGACCTGGGGGGTAACTTTTTCACGCAGAGGGTGGTGCATGTATGCAATGAGCTGCCAGAGGAAGTGGTACAGGCTGGTACAATTACAACATTTAAAAGGCATCTGGATGGGTACATGAATAGGAAGGGTTTAGATGGATATGGGCCAAATGCTGGCAAATGGGACCAGATTCGTTTGGGATATCTGGTGGGCATAGACGAGTTGGACTGAAGGGTCTGTTTCTGTGTTGTACATCTCTATGACTCCACGACTGTATGTTATCATACAGCTCTGGAACAGCTTGGATTTGAACCGGGCTGCCTGGCTCAGAATCAAAAACAGAAATTGCTGAAAAAGCTCAGCAGTTCTGGCAGCATCTGTGGAGAGAAACCAGATCTGGTGACTCTTCCTCCTGGCTCAGAGATAGGGATGCTACCACGAGAGCCCTAAATAATTGTGACGTGGGCGTGTTGTACCCGAAGTCTCAAATCCATGGTTAGACCAATAGCAACATTTGGAGTGAAGGTGCATTTGCTTACTATCATATTTCCATCAATCATGCTGTTTAAATCTTTCTGTAATCCTGGACTAACCATGCTTTGATTTGAACGGACCTTGTAGTTTATCAGCTGCAAATTTGACTAATTTATACCAAGCTTCTGAAGGTAAGGACTCACCAGTTTCTCAAATAGCTTGGTCCATTTGTCTGCCAAGTTTTAGAGGTAGCCTGTTTAACCCTCGGTCTGATGGCTTTGAGTTCACATTCCACACCAGAGATTTCACAATACATGTAGGACTGAGCAGGTGCTGCACCTTCAGAGCTGACACCTTGTAGATAAAATATGTAAAACAAATTATTTAAAACTGAAATACAGCCATGGTGTCCACCCGAGAGGGCAGTATCTCAAACAAGGGAATACGGATTCTCTCCAGGGTCTTGGCCAGAATTCATCTTTCACCCCCAATCATGGGAGATAGGTATCTGCTCTTAATTACATTAGTATTTCTGGGAGCTTGCTCTGCAAGAATAGGCTCTCATGTTTCTTACATTCCAACAGTGACTGTAGTTTAATAACATTTAATTGGATGTTAATACTTTGGGATGGCCCCAGGCCTTGACTATGATTGAGTTCTATATTTTAGCCAATTCCTTATCTATTCCCAAAATTAATTTGGAAACTTTGGGTTTTAAGTCACCTTTGGAAACTGAACTACAGAAAACCTGAGAGTTGAGCATAGTCCAGTTTAGTTGTTACTTGGTCCAAGATAATTGTTAAGTGGGATCAAACACATTGACTGATCTTGACTGGATTGTAAAACTTCTATTCAGGTTTGCTCCAATGAATTGATCCCATCAATTTGCATGCAGTGGAAGTAAGACCATGGATCTGAAGTTATATGTCTTTTCTATAACTATTTTTGAATTCACACATTCACACATTCTAATTTTGTTGTCACTTTACAACAGTGTCTATACTCAAAAGCATTTCATTGGCTGTAAAGAACTTTGGGAACATCTTGTGGTTGGGGAAAATACTGCATAAAAATCATAAGAAATAGGAGGAGGCCCATCAAGGCCAGTTTGCCATTCACTAAAATCATGGCCGATCTGTGTCCTCAACTCCACATTCTTGGATGACCCCATAAATCTTAATACCTTCTTGATCAAAAACCTATTTACTCAGCCTTGACTGAATTCACAGGCTCCAATTGTTCTCTGGGATATGGAATTCCAAAAACTACCAACCCTCCGAGTGGAGAATCTTCCTCGCTTCCATATTAAATGGGACAGCCCTTACATTTAATCTGCATTTCCTCATGGGGGAAACATAGTCACATCTTTTCTATCGATCCCTGTCAAATTCTGATATGACTTCTCATTCTTCAAAACTTCAATGAATACAGACCCAACCTGCTCAACCTTTCATAGGGGAATTTATTCAGGAATCACCGAGTGAACTTTTCTGAACTGCTACCAATGCAAATATATCTCTCCTTAACTAAGGAAACCAAAACTGTGCACAGTACTCTAGATGTAGTCCCACCAATGCTCCACACATTTGGAGCAAGACTTCTCAAGTTTAATTCTCCTCTTCTTTAGCAGTAAAGGACAATATTCAACTTGCCTTTCTAGTACTTGTTAATATTTTTGTGATTCATGTGTCAAGGCACCCAGAATCCTTTCTACTGCAGCATTCTAAATTAAGTGGTGACTTGGTATAGTCTCTCTCCATTTAACTAATACTCCTGTTTTTCTATTGTTCCTGCCAAAGTGGACAATCTAACATTTTCTCACAATATCTGCTAAAATAGGTCCAGTTGCTGAACCTATCTATCTCTGTGCACATTCTCACAGCTTGTGTTACCTATCTTTGTAGCAACAGCAAATTTAGCTA